TCCAACTCCGATTCGTATTTTTCATAGAGAAATCTCTTACCAACGATTGAAGTTAACAAACGGTGGGCTGGAGATTTTCAAAATGGGATGGGCTTTCATTGTTTTAGGCCTTCAGTGCAACAACTAAAAACAATTTGAAAAAATATATGTTCGATAAAATAAAGTGAAAATAGTTTAATTCAAATACAACATAGAAGAGGGAGGAGCGTTGCTGTGAAAGGGAACACATCGCCGGAGATGAAGAAGCGGAATCTCCGATCGAAGGAGTCGACTCTCGGAGAAGATGCTGAGAAACTCTACGAGAAGAGGATTCGGGATCTGGAATCGGCGAATGAAGCTCTCAAGGTTTCTTCCTCTTCTCATTTTTTTTTTTTTCTCTCAGATTTCAAAATCTGGAATCGGTGAATTGAAGATGATTCGCGTCGCTTCAGTTTCTCCTGAGCAGAAAATCTCATTTCTTAGTACTCAGACTGTCTTATTGCTGATTATTGCATTAGATTATCTGTTGATATTCCTGTAAATAATCACTGGAGCTATGTGATTTGGTTAGTCCTGCGTTTTACATATCTGTACAGTGTGTTGAGTACTAAGAAATGAGTGTAGAGAAATGGCAAAGCTAAATGTGTATTATGTCATCTTGAAATGATTTGTTGTTTTTGAAACCTGCAGCGTAATGTGGAAGAGCTAAGGTCCAAATTGGCTGATGTTTCGATTAGCTCTTCTGTTGGTAGTACTGTAATACAGTCGAGTAGAGATTCTTCTCGCAAGTCTATTGCTACAAAACAGGAGGTGAATCATTTTTTCACCTTTCAATATTAAAAAAGATATGTATACTATACGATGCATATTTTGTAACCTTAATACTTTGCATAGGGTATGAGCTCAAGGAGTAAGTCAAATTTGTGCTTAACGAAGAGTCCTATAAATCAGTTAGATGGCCAAGTACAGAAATTAAAGGCGCAAAAGGTGAGAATCTTGTTGCAAATAATGCCAAGTTCCATGAAAAATGCATCAGTTTCCAGTTGGTTTTTTTACTTTTGTGAGTTGTGACTACTCTTCAGGTTAAGTTGCAGTGCAAGATCAAGCTAGACTCTATGCAATTCAGACTATCAAAGGCTTCACTAGAGAAGGAAACTCATCAGGTACGCCAAGATCAGTCTTGATGGGCTTGATCAACAACTGTGTTTGCCTTGTCCAGTGCTCTTTATGTCTTCGTATGAAACCACAGGTTCTTAATTAAATACTTCGTCTCTTACAACAGCTCAGAAAAGAACTAAGGAAAAGCGAGTTCGAGAAACATGTCCTGTCAGCTTTGAACAGGCGCCAGAAGCTGGTATCTATTCTGCTGATTGTTCTATGCTATATGTAGTTTTCAACAACCGTTGTTTTACTGACTCCGTGCGCCTTGTTGATTTGTTATATTATTTTAAACAGATTTTGCAGCTCAAGAATACACAAGCTTTGACAGCCCTGAAGCGCCTAAAATTGCTGCCACAATCTAAAAAGATTTCTTCGAACAAAAATAATGGTATCCAC